ATACTAAAGTCTCTCCGAAAAAAATGAGATCTCTAGCTATTATATTTTCTCAGATATACTAATTTAAGATTTTATTTATATGAGAGGTGCCACGCCTACTGCAGCTAGGATGCCCATTTTATCCATATGTATTCATATGGATGTTTAAGTTGTCCATACAACTTTGCGACTTTTAATACTTATTTTGTATGTGGGCGTGGCACATTGCCCACTTGAAATTTTGAAGTAAATAAAAGCCTATAATTCCTTTCAAGCTGTGAAACTTTCAGAAAAATCGGTCCAGCCGTTTAGCCGTCTATAAAGTCTAAACAAACAAACATACGAACACACATTCATTTGTATATATGTGGAAGATATGTGTGATGTTCTAGCAGATTTAGTGTCATATGCAAATATTCATTCATTTATTCGTATTCATACAGGATATTTTACTGTCTCTCATATGTGTGTATGTCATAAACCTGTAGTTCGGGGTGACTGTTGCTGCCGTAATTTTTGGTGGAAAAAATAATTACTTTCTAAAATGTAAATTTAACAAATTTAAGGGATTAGACTGTTAATTACTTGAAGACATTAAATTGGCTATTGATTTCATGCTACATGCATATTTTGGAGAAGTAAAATAACCCAATAACATACATACATACACATGTATGTATTTCTAAAGGTATACATACATAGATACATCGACTAATGGTAAAACTTCTGGAAAATGTTTAAGTGTGTGGGTTTATGTAAATGTCTATGAAATACCATTCCCGTTGTAATGTCATACAATAATCATGGCAATTATGTTAAAATAATGCCACTGTCATACAAAATTTTATTGCCAACTTTCTACGTTAACGCTCTTTTTTCTTTTATTTATTTCATATTTTTATTCTTTCTAACATTATTTCTACAATTTTATGTGTTTTTTTTTTAAATTTGAATAATTTAAAGAAAATAATAGAGAGACATGTAAAGAAAACTTGAAGTAGTACTCGTTAAGTGGGGTAATATAATTTACATAATACATTAGAACAGTTGTAAAAATGGTGAAAATTTTTACATTTGTGATCATAATGTGACACACTATAGAAAATTCAACTATGATTAACATATGTTTAGATTTAAATTTGGAATTGAAATGATTAAAAGGGAAAAAGTTTTAATTGAACTTAAAAAACAGTTAAAACCAACAATGAAGGGGAACAACCAAATTTTATTCGTCAACAAAATATTTTTTTATTTGTCCATTACAATACAATTACAAATTATATTTACCGAGCAGGATGACTATGACCATACGCTCGTTGAAGTGTAGCAGATCAGAGTCTCTGGTGGGAATCGAACGCACAACCCTCAGACTGACAGGCTATCATACTACGAACTTGCCTACCGGGCCAACCTCAACAAATTATATCTAAGAACAAATTTCGTTTTTATAGCCTACCTCACTATAGTAGGGAAGGTATTATGTGTTGGTGCAGATGTTTGTAACGCATCGGTCCTACACCAAGCTATTAATATATACATACATATATCGACTGACTGTATTAAGTCTTGCCTGTCCGTCCGACTGACTGGTAGTATATGTTAACCTTATGCGCAAGTTACCAGTTCGCCACGACCAACTATAAATTATTTCATGATTTTAATACAAAATTCTTCATAGGGCAATTAAAATAAGTATTTAATTGAAAGTTAAGGGCCCCACGCCCATTATACCATACACCAAAATAGTAAAGGGCCCTTTAGACGATAACACTTCACGTACGACAAGTCTAATGAAAAAGTAAAATGAAATTCCATCCGTATGACAAAAAAGAGAATAAAAGTCGTATGATTTATATTTTTCGTGTTTACACGATTCCTATAAAACAATAACAAAGTAAGATGGACACAGCTGTTTCACTTTTTATACCCTACACCACCATCAGTGGTGATAGAGGGTATATATAAGTTTGTCATTCCGTTTGTAACACCAAGAAATATTCATCTGAGACCCAACAAAGTATATATATTCTTGGTCCTTATGAAATTCTGAGTCGATCTAGATATGTCCGTCTGTCTGTATAAAACACGCTCACGTTAAAACGAAGCAACGGAACTTAATATTCATTGTTATCCTAAGCAGTTTGGTATTGAAAATCAGCCATATCGGTAAAACAGGTTCAGAGTTATGAGTAAAAGTTTGAGACAACCTCGAAAAAAATTGTGATTTTTCACATATTTATTTGTATTTTTTACAAAAACTACTGCAGATAACTTGATGAATTTTGTCACAGATATAACTCTTGGTGCCAGGATTAATATTATTAAAAATCGGAAATCGGTTCACAATTCCATATACCTCCCATACAAATGTACATATTCCGGGAAATGAATTTATTGTTAATAACTTCCGTTATAATGCCGATATCTTTACAAAATTAAGTTTTATGAAAATAGAATTCATATAAAGAGACAATTTTCTGAATCGGTCTATAATTGATCGTAGCTCCCATATAAGGATCCCTTCCGAAAATCACTTAAACGCACATAACTCATTACCAAATAAAGATATCCATACAAAATTTAGCACAAACATTGCTTTTATATACAGAAATGATACTGTAAAATTTGTTTACGATCGGTCCGTAATTTGTCGTAGCTCCCATACAAGGTCCCTTTTCGAGAATCACTTAAACGCATATTATTCATTAAAGATATTCATACAAAATTTGGCACAAATATTCCTATTATCTACAGAAATCTAACTATAATTTTGTTCACGATTGGTCCGTAATTTCTCGTAGCTCCCATACAAGGTCCCCTTTTGACAATCACTTAAACGCATATTACTAATTACCAAATAATGATATCCATCAAAAATTTGGCACAAATATTTATTGTTAAATTTTGTCACACATATACTTAGTTTGGGGAGCAACTTTGTAAAAAATCGAAATCGGTCCACAATTTCTTGTACCACCCATAGGAAGTAAAAAACATTGATTATTTTTCACATAAAATTAAATAAAAACGATCAGGATTCGAACTTAAAATCTCCCAGTTGCTAGTTCTACGTCATATTCATTGCACAATTAACTAGTTTCGTAACTGTTTGCAACTAATGATGTTCACTTAGAAACTTCTTTCCTGTTTGTATAAAAAATGGTTGCTAACCCAAGATCAAATAAAATATGCACATTGAGAAAGTATAACTGTTTAATTTTTATGCTATTCAGCAACATCAGTGTTAATAAAAGTTATTCAGCAGCAATGTTTTGTACATACAGAAAATAACATGGCATTTGTATATGAAAAATATTAGTTAACGGAAGACGAAATAATGCAGTGGTGTAGTGGATGGAACGGAGAATTAACAAACTGAACGTTGCCGGTTCGATTCCTGGTCGATTTAATTTTTTTTGTCATAATTATAATTAAACAAGTAAGAAATTATAGTCGGGCGTGGCCGACCATATGATACCCTACACCAGTTATGAATATTAAATGTGATTTATTTTTCATAATAAAGCATTTATCATCAATATTCCCTTGTTCCGATACATTTAAGCAATTTATGGATGAAAAACTAATTTTCTGAAAGAGGCTTTATATGGGGGCTAGGAGCAAATATGGACCAAGCCCGATAAAATTTTGTGAATATATTTATATTGACATAATATTTTATTGTGCTGAATTTCATTGCGATATTTGTGCTTATAAGCTAATTTGGGACATTCAAGTAATTTTCTGAAGGGGACTTTGTATGGGAGCTAGGGTCAAATGTGGCCCGATCTTTATGAAATTTGGCAGGGTCATCAAGACTTCTATAAAACTTAGTTGTGCCGTATTTTATCGATATATCTGTATATTTAACATAATTATGAGCTCAGAAGCCCTTTTCGGGGGGTTCTGTTGTATGGGGGCTAGGTGAAATAATGGACCGATTTTAACCATTTTTAATAGGCTTCGTCCTTAGGTCAAATAAAACGTGCGTGCCGTTTTATTGAAATTTGCGACCTGTACCTTGCGCACAAGGTTTACATGGACAGCCAGACAGCCAGCCAGCCAGACGGACGGACGGACATAGCTTAATCGACTCAGAAAACGATTCTAAGCCGATTGGTATACTTTAAGGTGGGTCTAGGACGAATATTTTTGTATGTTACAAACATCAGCACAAATCCAATATACCCTCTCCACTAAAGTGGTGTAGGGTACAAAAAAATCAAATTAAATATAGAAATTCTGTTCAACAATAAAAATTTAAAAGCTAATTTTTTAAAATTTTTTTCATAGGATCAACAATATTGAAAATCTATTGTACCTCACGTACAAAATTACATAAGTTTTATAACGGATCATATTGCCATACATTTTTTTCACAAATAGAAATTATTTTAAATACATAACGTACGTTAACATTTGTTAAATTTAATACGCTCTGTAACATTCTGTTTAGTGGTAGTTTTGTTTTTAATTGCATATTCTAAGGCTTAATGAAAGTAAGAGTAGAATGTTAAGGTAAATTCGAATAAAACCATAAAATTTGATAATTTATAAAACCAGTTCAAGGTGGAGGGTATTTAAGATTCGGCAAAGCCGAATATAGCACTCTAACTTGTTTTGTATGTGTTTACATAAAAATACATCCCTGATCTAATGCGATTTGCTTGTTTTTACTACTGTCAAATTTTCCATCCGTATTTTCTCTCAGTGTGTGATGGTTTCATTACATATTTCGGTTAGGCGATCCTATCCGTTTTCTTCTACACAAAATTTTGACAGAATTACTTGTGTGCTCGTGTGAAGGGAGCTTAAGGAGGGTATTGTGAATTAAAGTATAACAATCAACTCAGAATCACTTTCTGAATTAATCACTTCTCAATTTTCAAATAAAAATGGTAAAATTTGACACATACACACTTTTTGTCCCATTGTTGACGAATACTTCACAATTGTCGCGCTCAAATTTTATGATCAGACCCTATTTATTTTCTTTTCTTCCAATAAATAAGAAGAACAAATTTACAAATCATATTTTATTAACACAACTTTATTAAAATCTCTCAAACATCAGTTTCCAATTCAATTCTACCTCTTTCCTCTTCGCCTTTGGTTATAATAGTCTTTTGTTCTTCATAAATCATTTCATCATCTTTATAATAACGAATACTCTTCTTACGTTTCATAACCAATCTTTCTGGTCCACAACCATCAGCGTTACCCATAAATTCAAACGTGGCAGTAGCAATACTATTAGCTTTCATCCAGGGTTCATTTAGAATCATTGCTTCGCATTCTCGAATCTCACCTTGAGCATCTATAAGATCTGCAACAATTTCGTATAGAAATATGCCAGTTCTTTTGGCTGACTTTAAAAGGGCGATATTAAGGTTGGGGCCTCCATATGCTTCTAGGGTAACAAGGCATTTTTCTAAAACTTTTTCGGCTTTTTCCAATTGTTCTCCTTCTAGTATTACTGTGGAGACATAGGCCTTGAGTACAAAAGGAAATTTATTCAATCTACTTTAAAATAATTTAATTTTAACACTAACCGGCCATTTGACATTTTCCATGGTAGAAATAACTTTATAATTTGCCATAATTCCAATATTTTATTTTAACTTAAGATTTATTTTAACTGAATAATGTTATAGCTGGTAAATGTAAAAAACAACTAAATGAAATTATTAATTTTTTATGATTACCTATTTTAAAATTAAATGAGAAATATTTGTTCTAAAAATATGGAATATTTGTGGCTGCGATTGAAGTGTTTGCATCATATGAATTTCATAATCTTAAGAGTAATTTTATATATATATATATATATGGACTCATATATATGGACTCACAGACCGTGTATGTGAGTCCATATTACTAATGAAATTAAATATTAGATCATTAGTTTATATGTGGGTAGGGTCAATTATGGACCGATCCACATAAAATTTGCTAGAGAGAATTTTGCTCGTAAGAGATTTACTTATGTCAAATTTGATTGCTTTACTCGAATTTTTAAGAAATTAATGAGCGTTAAGGTCGTTTTCTGAAGGGGACCTAATATGGGGGCTAGGGTCAATTATGTACCGATCCGTATAAAATTTGGTAGAGAGATTTTGACTTGCATGAAACTTAATTGTGTCGAATTTCATCGATATATTCTTATTTTTAAGCCAGTAATGAGCGTTATAGTGATTTTCCGAAGAGGACCTTAAATGGGGGGAAGGGTCAATTATGGACCGATCCTCATAAAATTTGGTAGGAAGATTTAGGATCATATGAAACTTATTTGTGCCGAATATCATCGCTATACTCGTACTTTTAAAATAGATATGCCCGTTAAAACTGATTTTCGGGGGTCCACTTGTATGGTGGCTATCCGAAAATGTGGACCGATATTTCCCATTTTCAACACCAAACAAACCTTATCCATAGAGAACATTTGTTTTAACCCTCTAGCTCATTCCGTTCGGACTCTATGGTGCTTTCAACAGACAGACAGACGGACAGACGGACATGGCTAGATCGTCTTAGAATTTAATAAGGACCCAGAATATATATACTTTTATGGGTCTATGACCAATATTTCGATGTGTTACAAGCGGAAAGACAAAATCAATATACCCCCATCTTTTTTGATGGTTGGTATAAACATCTGAAATGGGCGTTAAGAAAATCGGCATCATGGTTTAGGGTTATATATATTTATACCCTACACCACTTTAGTGGGGAGGGTATATTATGTTTGTGCTGATGTTTATAACGCACAATAATATTGGTCCTATACTCACCTTAAAGTATACCAATCGGATCAGAATCATTTTCTGCGTCGATTTACAGGTCGCATTTTTGAAAAAGAAATTTGGTACATGATCTTCTATTGTCTTAGTGATAAAGTCTGTTGAAAATGGTTATGATCGGTCCATTATTTCACCTAGCCCCCAAACAACTGAACTCCCGAAAAGGGCTTGTAAACATTGTAATCAAACTACAGGTCGCATTTTTGAAGATAATTCAAAGAAATTTTGCACATGATCTTCTATTGTACTAGTGACGAATCCTATTGAAAATGGGTAACATCGGTCCAATATTTGACCTAGAGCCCATACAACTGAACCCCCCGAGTTGGGCTTTTAGGTTCATAATTATTTTAAATATACTCGTATCTCGACAAAAAGCTGCAAAACCAAATTCTATACTAGCCTTCATGACCCTGATGAATTTTTTGATGCTAGGGCCTCATTTGACCCTAGCCCCTATACAAAGCCCCCTTCAAAATATCACTTAAATGTACACAATTTTATTCAACAAAAAATTACTAAAGTATATCTGAGACAAGGTACAATTCAACTTAAATGTTTTATTATGAATACTAAATCCATTTTTTTTAATAACCGGTCTCGCCCGACTATAACTTTTTACTTGTTTAGGTCTGTTTAAGTAACGTGAGCTTTTTGCTTTAAATAATGGACCAATTTCAAAAATCTTCGTCTTTGGTTCAACAAAGTGCTAGTTGACACTAAACAACATTTGTTGCGCAACTTTTAGATATCGCATAAGAGAGAATAAAGATGGTACTTCTTTTTCACATCCCCATAAATTCCAAAAATGGCGCAACTAAAATTGCTCAATGGGAACCGACACCGACAAATCTCAACAATTGATTAATTTATTTGCTACTCTTACAATTTCCTAAAAATATATATTATCCCACACAATATAAGAAAAAAATAAAAATCGTTTAATTTCCTTAAACAAATTTAACATCATTTACTTTATGATAAAACAGACAACGAATAAGTTGGTGTCTGCATGGCAATAACCACAAACACTTCTTTAAGAAGGCAAAAAGAAATGATATTGTTCTAAGAGACAAATTCTTGCATAGTATTTGGCGTTTGAGAACGAGTGGTTTGTGACAAGTAATAAATGTTTGTCACAAAATTATCTCATTTACAATAACGTTTTTTTTCTTCTGTGCCATTATCCAACAAGCAGTCTGTCGTCTGTGTGTCACAAGAAAATTTACATTTTCGTTTAAAATTTGAAAAGGCGCAAATAAGAAGTGGCGAATGATGGTATTCAGCAACTTAAGTTCAGATAGCTATTTCTTCGTTGATCCCAAAATAAGTTTTCAGTTTTTTCCTTAGAGCTTTCCTGTTATAATTCACCTTTAAAAAGCTCAAAATTTTAGTTTTAAAATTTATCTTTTATGCATTTAAAAATAAATAAATTTTTATTTTTATGAATTTTAAAATTACCGCTAGCATTTCTATATTTTATTTTTATTTCAAATGCGTACTTATAAAAACTGAGTAGTAGAACTTTGAAATAAATTGTATTTGATAAATACATACAAAAATATATTCTCTTCTTATTCAGCTTGTGGTTAAACAATACAAAGTGTAGAAATGTAGAAATACTTTTTTTTTCATTTTTAGCCAACAGCAGCAAAATTTATTTTTAACCTGTGAATTGTTTGTGATATGAGAGTACCCATTATACATGTACATTTTGAACCAAACACTTTAGCACGTCTCATAAAAAATATCTATGGTCACAAGACATAAACTTCTAAGTCGATTTAAGAATGTATGTCACATATAGTCGTCTTATAAAAGTCTACATTTACTTGATATCCCATTTATTCACTTTCTAATTGTTCCTAAAATATTTATGTAAAAAGTTCTCTGAAAATATGTTAAACTTATTTATTCTCAAGAATATGATTTGTGAGTTAATCTACTATTACATATGTTTATTTTTTGTGCCGATTACTACTCTTTGTAGGATAGTAGTATAAGTTTTAATATAGTTTAGTTTTCTAAACATAAAATATAAGTGAAGTGATCAAACTTTTAAAATCGATGTCTTCTGAATTGGATGAAATTTTGAAGTAACCACAAAGTTCTTAAAGGAAATGGTCTAAGCTCTCATTTGGGGAAAAAAGTCAACAAAACGTCCATTTTGGCACTTAATTTGTTCCTATTAAGTGCCAAATATTGAAAAAATCTTATTCTTGATGATGAAAGTCATTTTCTGAAGGGGACCTTATATGGGATGTAGGGTCAATTATGAACCCTTCCTCATACAATTTAAGAAAATGGTTTTAATTCCCATAAAACTTTTTTATGTCGAATTTTATTGCTATATATGCTTCTTAAGGTCAGATATCAGCATTAAAGTCATTTTCTGAAGGGGACCTTTATGGAGGGTAAGTTCAATTATGGACCGATCGTTATAAAATTTTACGAAGAGGTTTAAGTTCCTATAAAAAATGTTCCTGTCGAATTTCAACTCTAAAGATGTTTCTTTTAAACACTCATGAGCGTTAAAGTCATTTTCTGAAGGGGACTTTATATGGGAGTTAGGGTCAATTATGGGCCTATCCTTATAAAATTTTACAAAGAGATTAAGGTTCCAATAAGACATGTTTGTGCCGAATTTCGCAGCTATTGAGGCTTTTTTAGCCAGTTATAAGCGATAAAGTCATTTTCTGAAGGGGGTTTTATATGGGGGTAGGCGAAATCGTGGACCGATATTGCCCATTTTCAATACAAACTGCATCAACTAAAAGTTTCTATGCAAAATTTCAGCTCCTTAGCTCTTTCCGTTCAGTCTCTATCGTGCTTTCAACAGACAGTCAGACGGACGGACATGGCTAAATCGTCTTAGAATTTCATAAGGACCCAGAATATTTATTCTTTTGTGAGTCTATAACCAATATTTCGATGTATTTCAAACGGAATGACAAAATCAATATACCCCCCTCTTTTTTGATGGTGGGTATAAAAATTAAAAGATATTTTGTTTTTGGGAAACACTGAAAAAATAGCTATCTGAATTCCTTTGGACAATTTTTGTTAGGACCAATAGGTGAAAAGTTACACTTATTTCAATAAAATCCTGTATGACCAAAATGTCAAAATTTGACCCCCTCTAAGTCTGGTAGTTCTTGACCGATGGAACAGAAAATTTGTGAAAATAAGTATGACTTCAGAAATTATATCTTATTATGAATCAGGCTTTCATTTTCGGTGGGAACATCAGAACCTAAATTGTTCTCCATACAATCGGGGTCACCCTGATATTTGTATATGAATGTGTTTTTAAACCACGAAATTTGTTTTGATTGTTCTATCCGTTAGATAAATAAATTAAAATACTGTTATCACTAAAGTATCGTTACGATAGTTATGATTGCTATACTGTAATTTAAAGTCGATTGTCCTGCAGTTTATAGAAATCAACCTTAACGCAATGCACTTTGAATGCCGCTCATGTGTATATACTATGTACAAAATTAAGATTATGGCGAATCATATTTCATTTAAAACTATCTATCTTCTTGTGAGTTTTTATTTCATGTTAAAAATATAAAAACAACAAGAATATAAACAAAAATTCCCCAAACTACATTTAATTGTATAAATATGTGTACAAGTACATGGACGAATGTACTGAGTACACTGCAAAAATTCATATCCAAAAAACAATTCTCAATAAAAACATTTTAAGAATTAATTGTCATATATAAGTTGTATATCTTTTGACTAATTAAAATATATTTTTCTCAGTGTATTTTGTATGATTTTTATGTATGTTGTAAAATTTATATTTTAATGTGTATGGGTGTGTTTTAGTCTTTCCACTATAAGTACATACAAC